GAAGCAATATGAATGCCATTTCTGTTTGTCTATGTTACTGTCATGTGGTCTGAGTCTCTCGCTGGCTGCCAAGGAGCAACCTCTGCTAGACCCGCCGGGAACTTGGGGAAATTTATAGTGTGTTTCTGAAGTGATAGTGATGTAGGACAATTTTTTGGGTGGCGAGTGATTTAGGACATTCGTTACATTTAATTGGTATATCTTAATTTTGTATAAGAAGAAAATTTGATGTGGACCGGCAAATTCTAATGTATTCCGGTCAAATGAAAGGGGCGTTGGCGTTGGCGGCGACTAGGATCAGACGATAATCTCTGTAACTTGAGTTGAGTTTCTTGTTAAGGAGTAATTTACAGAAAAGACGGCTTTTATACTATTTTATTATGGGGAAAAAAAAATATATATATATATATATGTATTTAATAATTTATTAATTAATTGTTAAAAAATTTTTTAGAGATCTAATGCTTGTGTCGTGTGAATAGAATGGTGTTTGGTTAATAAATATTTGTACCAACCATATAATAAAAATAGTAAAGAGTGAGATAATATGAGCTCTTCTGGAAGTTAAACAGGTTATTTGAGATGAGGAGAAGCTCTAAACTCAAAACTCTCAATTTCTATTTCTATTAACTTGTCTTACGTAGTTCCTTTCTGTAGGCCAAATAAAAAGATTAATGGAACTGAATCATTGAATTAGGGAGACAATAAATGAGAAAATGTAAAACGAATAGTGTAAAAGTTATAAAAAAAAAAAAAAAAGAAAAAGAAAATATTACTTTACAGCATGAAAATTACCATAATAGATTTATTGCATTTTATATTTATATTTATATTACAAGTAATACAAGTACATATATTGTCTTTACCGTTAAATTCTTAGCACTCCTTCTTCCTTCCTTTCCTTGGAAAAATTATTATTATCTTTTTTTAACAAAAAAAAATAAGACATACATCATGAAGCTATAATTTACAGATTTCCTTTATGGAAGAAGAACAAAAGAAAACAAAAAACTAATGTATAGGGATTATAGTTTCCTTCATTTATTGAAGAAGGAAATTGTCGTATTTGTATTATCGTATATATATATATATAAATATATCACCTCTTCTGGAAATTAAAGACCTTAATTGAGAAGGCAAAAATGAATCCAAAGAGCACTACAAAACCCACAACAATGGCTGCAACTTCTCCAATGAACTCATGTTTGAATTCAAAATTTCTTCTTATAAAATCTTCAACACTTTCACCATTATCAAATCTGTCCTTTACGTCTCCAAATTGGGAAGCTACTAACCCATATAGTGTCCAAGCAGTAGGACAGATTCTAGAGTACCATCTCCACCATGCAGGAATTCTCTGTCATTATTATATCTTATATGGGTTAATATTTTGTGTCTATATATATATATTTTGTATGGAATTATACTGAGGAAATCTTAGACTTACAGGAAATGGGATGATGAATCCTGAGAAAAGGTTCCATATTGATAGAAATGCAGTTGAACTAACAGCAGCAATGTGTTGATTAGGAGTGAAAGCGACTGTCATCATGCCATAGAATGTGAAGTATAGGAAAGTGAAGTAAGTGAAGAAGATAAACCAAAAGAATTTAGCTGCTTCCCACTCGAATCCGGTCATGGCATAAACTATAGGGCCATATAGAAGTGTTTGTATCAGAATGTATGGCAGCTCAATTACCACCTGCAAACAATATTAAATTTAAATTCAAATTCAAATTCCTCAACGATATGTTATAGTTTTATGTGGGTTTGATTCAAGTTCTTGCTCGTGATATACCTGGGCGAAAGCGTATGGCAAGGCCGAATACAATCCAGCTGCTCTTTCTCTGTAGAACACTGTTCTTTCAATTGCCACAACTGGCTGAACTGACGCACAATTTTGAAAACCAAGGAATAGGACCGCAGCATACATGGAACCCATTGCATTCAGTAAATCTTGTTCTCTTCCTCTGCAAATTCCGATTTTCTTTCAATTTCGGTTCATTTTAAGCATTTTCAAGACCGCCCAGAAAGAAAAATTTAACCTTTTGTTTACCTCTTGGAGCCTAGATCCCAGAACATTGTTCCAAACATCAAAGCGGTGAAGGTTGTGAATAATAATCTAACTGCAGTATATGGCGGGTTTCGCCAATGGGACCAATGTTGTTTCCATAAGCAAGCCATACATTGTGTGAAGAAAGACTGTGAATATTGCGTTGGAAAGTACAAATCTTTTGATCCGGGTGCAGGCGTACTTAGCTCCTTGATGAGTTGCTTATTTCTCCTGAATAATCCATTTCAAAGTGTTTAAGTTAAATCATATTACCAGATTCAAGAATGAGATATGTTTTTTTTGGTGTTGTGGAATGATCTTGATTACCTATATAGTTCTGAATTGTTGTATATGTCAGTGAATCTAACTCCAAGAGCTTCTTCTTGTGCCGTTGTAGTCACCTCTAACATCCAAGTTGCAGGATTGTAGCCATCTTTGATTTTAGGTATTCCATCAATTGCCTTGATTAATTAATGAAAAGCCCACATTAGCAATATAATTAGAAAATAATTATAAATTGCTTAATCCAGTATATCACCAACCTCAAAATGCTTAATCAAATGGCAGGCATGAAGGCCTAAAGGACCTACGTATATGGCTTCACCTCCTCGTTTTAAAAGAAGCAACTGCATTGTGAGAGTTTGAAATGCAGGTATTAGCTTTCACTTAAAACCTACTCTTTTCATATTCCCGGGAGAGTAACTGACCTCGTCAAATGCATCGAATATGTCAATGCTTGGCTGGTGGATGGTGCAGACGACTGTTCTTCCTGTATCCACTGTGTTCCTCACTGTTCTCATTACGATAGCTGCTGCTCTCGCATCAAGACCTGAGGTTGGCTCATCCATGAATATAATTGATGGATTTGCCACAAGCTCAACTGCAATTGTCAGCCTCTTGCGCTGCTCGGTTGATAGACCATTGATGCCAGGAAGTCCCACAATTGCTTCCCTTAGTGAGGTCAGCTCCACAAGCTCCATAACTTCCTCAATGAACAACTGCAAGGCAATTCTCATTCATTATACAAATTAAAGAAGACAGAATTTGTTGTTAAGGGCGGACTGAGAATTCACCTCTCTTGTCATGGAATCAACCTCCGGTGGTAGACGAAGCCAAGCCGAATAGACTAAAGATTCATAGACTGTAACATGAGGGGAGTGTATATCATTTTGCTCACAGTATCCAGATATCCTAGCAAAAGTTTCCTGCTTTTTCGGATACCCAGATATTTTGATGCTTCCACTAATGTAACCTCCAGTTTTTCTTCCTGCCAACACATCCATCAAAGTGGTCTTTCCAGCACCACTAACCCCCATCAGAGCAGTAAGCACTCCTGGCCTGAAAGCACCACTCACTCCTTTCAGAAGCTCTAGTCGGTCCTCGTTAACTCCTTGAGCTTTTATTTCCTGCAACATAAGATTGGAGTCACATTTAGCCATTCGCTTCTTATTTTGTTTCTGGTTTCTACTAGTAGAATCTTCAAGGTACCTGGGGCATGTCAACAGCATATCTAATTTCATCGAATGTAATAGAAAGGGGTTCGAAAGGAAGAATCATCCCACGCTTTCTGTTCTCGTCACCTTCATTAATGCTGCCTATTCTTCCTGAAGATGACAGATTCCTACGACTTTGATTCCCTCTTTCTGCATTGTTTTTTGCTATGTTTATGTCATTGGAGGAACATTAAGAGGGGAAAGAATTTACAAACATAATGATGTTGATCACCCACCGGAACTCTTTACTCTTGCTGGCAACTCTATGAACTCTCCAGTTCTGTTTGCATTTTTCTCAGCCAAGGCTTGTTCAGATAGTACTGCCTGAGGCTTTCCAAATGCTGCAGAATTTTGTTGGTCATTGTCAGAATATAGACATCAAATTCGAGAGACCAATATTGTAGATGGTACTTACGATCTAGATATTTAAGAGCAAAAGTGAAAAGGATGTTGAACAGGAAACAGTATCCGAGTAAAGCTCCTACTCCAATCCAATACCAGTAGGCTTCAGGGAATAACCCGCGAGACTTCAAGATTGAAACACCTAATGATTCTGTTGCATTTGGGGGAATCTACAAGCACCAATAGGATTCATAGACCAATTGGTTAGTTTTCATCATTTGGGTAGTATGTTAAGGTTATAAGTAAAAAAATGCTCACATGATTCCAACTCCTGCCAGTAAATTCGTTCACAGCTATCGCATTTTGTCCATACATCATTGGTGAGAACCAGTAACCCCACAACCACCATTTCTTCACATCATCTGATCCAGTAGAAAGAATGAAACCTTTTAGCTCTCAGAACTCGTGATACGATATCCCTTGAAAATAATCAAAATATCAAAGTAACCTCGTGAAACGATGAATCCCCCCATTACAAAAACTAACAGTAATGAAAATGAACCGAAAGTGTTGGCCACGATCATGTCCCTTCCTAGGGATCCTATCAGCCGGAAAAGTGCTGATGCCATCTGGTTAAGGCAGACGAGTACAAGATACTGTTTGAAGAACCTGCCATTGGTAACTTCGATTTCAGTATACTATATATAAACTCTAACATAGAATACTGAGTAATCTTGGTTCTCTCATTTTGTTACCTTCCAGCATTTGGATCATAGCCTATGACATAATAAGTCATGAACACCCAAACAGCAGCTTCAAGGAAGGTGATTGGGATCTTGAGAATCCACGTGGGCAAAGCATATGCCCAGGCAGGATAAAAGAGTTGGTCCCTTTGCTTGTAGAAAACAGGAAGTTTCATTATAGTCATTGCTAGCTCTGAGAACCCGTTGAACATTATCATAACCACTGTGAAAAAAAGAGCACCCAGAAAAACTCCACCATCTTCCATTGTATCTCGATGCATCTCGGTTCGTAGAAACAATGTCATCGTTATGAAAGCCATTAAAGTCAGCTGCAAAATTAAGGAAAGATGAAAGTGGCCATTAGAGTCAGCTGCAAAATTAAGGAAAGAGGAAATTGGACATTAACTTGACTTCTTTCTTCGGTGTATTTAGTTTGTTGGGAGAAAAAGATACTCACTTGGAACATTTTGAAGATGTAGACAAATGAATTCCTCTTCATGAGCAAGAATTCTCTTGAGATGCAAGCTCTTAGAAGGTCCTTCTTACTAGCACCATATTTCTGGGTTGTTAACGCAGCTGGGTGACTTTTAGACTTGTCAAATGGAGTAGCAAGCTCATCACCCAGTTTCCTGCCAATATGAAATGACTGAAACGCCTCTGCAAATTCTTTCACACTAACGAAGCTGTAAGGCTCATCTTTGTTCGCCCAGTATTGCTCTTGATCTTTCCTTGATGTCACCTAATGAATCACCACAAATAGAAGACAGTAAATATGATATTCAATCATATTTTTAAAAGGTACGTAATTATTGAATTTTATATAAAAACTCAAGTCACAAATTACCAGTAGCTTAAGGTTGAACTTGAGTTTTTAACAAACTACTATATTGAGTTTAATAAGTTACTGGACTAGCAGTGCTTGGAATTGAAACATTACAAAAAATATGATAAAGAGTTCGATATGATTCTTACTTCTTGTAAGAAGTCAGCTACTCCTTTCCTTTCAGGACACTTGAATCCCATGCTTTCGAAGAATTCAAGAACGTTTTCACGGGGTCCTTGATAGACAATATGTCCATCCGAGAGTAGAATTATATCATCAAACAAGTCATAGGTTTCTGGTGCAGGCTGCAGCAGGGAGATGAGAGCAGTTCCATTGAGAATATGAATGGACTGTCTCAGTGAATTCACTATTTGGAATGTCGTGGAACTATCCAAACCAGTCGATATCTCATCCATGAAAAGTGCTTTTGCAGGTCCAACCAGCATCTCCCCTACAACATTAACATCCAAAATTTCTTTTAAGCAACTAATTCAAGAGCTAACTCTCATATACATATTTCAATATATGATTTGTATACCAGTTGTAACACGCTTCTTTTCACCACCAGAAATACCACGGAGCATTTCATCCCCAACCAGGGTATCGGCACAAATTTCAAGTCCCAAAATCTGCAAGATTTTTAGACAGTTAAATTCGTTTATGGTGATTTCTATCTCTATCATGTTGTGGCCGCCTGATTGAGTCTCAAAATTATAATACCTTAAGAATATAATCAGTAACCACACTGCTTTCCTGCCCTTCCAATGCCGCTGACTGCAGAATTTGAGTAATCTAATTAATGCTTTTCAACTAGCAAAGTTACCAACATTTACAGACATGAAATGATATGATAATCATATTAACAAGCCAAAAAAGAAAATGTAGAAAAATTTAACAGATTATTTTTTCATTTTGTATTTTTATAAATTCACGAACTTTCATGTAAACATCGATGTCGGGATCTGGTTTGATGTTGGCTTCCTTTTCTCTTCTTGATAATTCTGCCAACATCTCTGCAAAAAATAAAAGTTTGATTCACAGTCCATGTGAGAAGTTGACCAGAAAAGATTGATAATCCAAATTTTATATTCACTAAACAACTGACCATATCTGGGTCCAACTCCTTGACATCTTGCAGAAAATTCAAGAGTTTCTCTCACTGTCATCTCTCCTATATGAAGATCATATTGGCTTATATAAGCTGATGTTCTCTGCGGCACAAACTCCTCCATTCCACGACCGTTGTACGTAACTCTACCCGAAAACTAAACATTTTTTTTTATCATTAGTAAATAACATTCATTAAAGTCTTACAAAACCATAAACATATATAGTACTAGAAAGATTTAACTTACTTTTAAATCTTTGGTGAGCTTTCCAGCTAATGCCAAAAGTAAAGTGGTTTTCCCGGAACCTGGCGGACCCAAAAGTAAAGTCATTCTGCAAAAAACCAGATTGATCAAATGAGTCCCAGAAGAGTTTATGAGTATATCAGATTTCCTTTTTTAAGTTTTTCTCCCACCTTCTTGGCTTGATGATTCCACTGACATCATGAAGAATTTGTGAAGGATGCTTTTTACTTGGAAGAATATGAAGATAATTCAAGAAACCCTTTACAAAACAAACCATTATAATTACATTTACAATCAAATTTTTAGAGTTGAAGAAGAAAAACATATGAATATACCCAGATTAAAATCACTTACCTCAATGATGTTAACAGTGAAATTGAACACCGTAGGTAATGCTTTACTCCCCACATGAGCTTCTGCTTTTACAGTCAAATGCTCAAATCGAACCTCAATTGTAGGAAAATCAAGCCCAACTCTGTATTTGTTTTTAAAAAAATCAGAGACAAATAATTTTTTGATTCCCACAAAAAAAAAAAAAAAAGAGAGAAGAAACTGAAAAGTTTATTAATTACCTCTCAATGCGTTGTTTAAGTTTTAACAAGAACTTCTCGTTATCTTCTTCAGCAATTTTAACAAGTCTGTCTAATAAATTCCTTTCTCTCCACCATCCCAAGACTCTTTATATCAATCTCTCTTGCCTCACCTTCTTCTTCATTGAGAATTCCTCTCCTTACACGTAAATAAGTTGGAAGCTTTTCTATGGCAGCCCACTTGAGAGCTTCTTCATCGTCTTCTTCCACACGAGAAGATCTCTTGGAGAATACTTCAGCGTCCGTGTTCCTCCATATGCTTGAGCTGCTTAAACGTGCACTACTTCCTCCGTACAAATCAGCACCCTCCATTTTCCTAAATGCTATATTTATATATATATATATACATACAACTCTCTCAAACTTCCATTAACAAAAACTCAAGCATGCAATTCAGTATTTCTCTGTTTTATAAATGGAGACAGAGATGACAGAGTGGCTGTGTCTTCCTCTGTTTCCGTACCGAGGAGATTATGAATTTCTGACTGAAGTTTTGATGCTTATGGGTGTGGGTGTGTGTATATATATACATATATATATAGGTGTTAACAACGCATGAAATCGCTGACAACGAAGAGTCAATCTGTCGATGCTTTGAAATGAGGTGAGCTCATGGCATCTGTCATGCATTCATATAATTTTTACAGTTCAAACTTGGTTACAATTCTATATATTTAAGTTAAAAATATCATAAATTGGATGCAATTGACTAACATATTCTTTAATCTTTAATTGACCAACACGATCTTTTAACTTTTCACTGGAGTTTTTATCAGGCGTTTCATATTTAATAGTTCATTAATTATATTGTCTTACAGTGTTCTTTAATTACAACATATATATATATATATATATTTAATTATGTTTGAGTTAAATTTCATGAATTAACCCAAACAAATGATGATAAACTTGAGTTTTACTACATGTCAAGATAATCGTAGCACACAGAGTTATCATTTTAACTTGGTTTCTCCATGATTGAGTTACGTGAAAGTAATCATATTTTAATATTGAGAATTTATTGTTACTTATATCTCCCTTGACAACACCATAATAATTTTGTAGAGATCAACTGAGTGGGGTTGTCTGTCAAAGATTGAATATCTTATGACTATGCATTTGCATTTGTGGTTACTCAAGAAGTTTAAGAAATTTTTCTTAAACACGATTAACTTAAAAAGATTGTTGAATCATAGAGATTTATTAATGAAGTTTCATTATTATTTATATCATAACTCTATCGAGATTACAAGAGACAGAAAATGTATTTACGTAAAAATTTTTGATAGAAATGTTCTTTTTTTTTTTTTGTTCTTCGTAAATTATCTTGATGTAGTTAGTAATGTCAATTAGGATACGCGGATTCAATATAACTAATAGATAAAATTTATTCAATTATGTTGTTAATCAATGATATTAATTATTAGATTGATTGATAGTTAGACAATTAAACCTAATGAGTAACAGAAGTTTTACTCAGTATATTTGTTTTGAGTGAATGATTAAATGTTTTGTTTAATGTGTATTGTATAAATATTAAGTTTGATTAATAAGGCTAGTTAAATTTAAGACAGAACTGTGATTAAAAAGTCTAATCAAGAGATAAGTAATTAAATTAAAAAAAATAATCGGTTAAAGTGTGTAATTAGTTAATTTGAATTTAGAATGAGATAATTAACGGATAATTATTTTACAATACGATGAATTTAAAATTTTTGTTTTCGAGACAAGAAAATAAAAGTACTTTTTTTTAAAAAAAAATTAGAGTAAGAATTGGAGTTTTGC